TATATATATATATATATATATATAAAAAAATCTAAGTTTCCTGAATAAATAAATTTAAAAGAAAAAACAGAAAAAGTCACACTTACCAACACTTGGAGTCGAGGACAGTGTATTGAAAGTTGGATTAATGTGCTATCTGTGATCTAAAACAACAAGTAAATTTGCTGTAAGCAAAATTATATGAATTTATATGTAATTCATGAATTAATACTCAATGCAACTCTACAGGTTCAGGTATTATTAAATAACAGGCCCTTAGGGTTTCAGTCCCACATCCTACATGAGTCAGTAAAAAAATACTGTTCAAAATCTATCCTTCCTTCTTCCCTCCCTCCCTCCCTCCCTCCCTCCCTCCCTCCCTCCCTCCCTCCCTTCCTTCTTTCTTTCTCAAACTTTCCTCATCCCTAGAGACACGGTTTCTCTGTGTAGTTCTGGCTGTCCAGGAGCTCACTCTGTAGACCAGGCTGGCACAGAGATCCACCTGCCTTTGTCTCCCTAGTGCTTGGATTAAAAGTGTGTGCCACCACTGTCTGGCTCAAACACAGTTTTCAAACTCAGAGATCAGGTGCTTCCAGAGCACCAGTGCTGGCTCGCTGGTTAAGAGCACTGGCTGCTTTTCCAGAGGACCTGGGTTCAATTCCCAGCATCCATATGGTGGCTCACAACTGTCTGTAGCTCCAGTTCCAGGGGGGCCTTTTCATCTTGCTTTTGAAAAAAAGATTTGCCTAAATTGCCAGTGTGTCTTTTCAAACCCCTATCCAACCTTTATTTCTACGACACCTGGCTTGAGAGGATCTGAAATATGATGAGCACAGAGACCTCTGATGCAGAGGGACCAACTCTGAAGAAGACACAGCACTTAGTATGCACAGAGACCTCTGATGCAGAGGGACCAACTCTAAAGAAGACACAGCACTCAGTATGCTCAAGAGGCTCTGATGCAGAGGGACCAACTCTGAAGAAGACACAGCACTTAGTATGCTCAAGAGGTGAATGGACGAGAGATATTAATTTAATAGTAAATGGCAGCTGTCACTTATCATCTGGACAACACCCACTCCCGCTGCGCCGGGAAGAAACCTCAGGACGTGGAAGATCAACTTACTGCTGGGTGCTCTGGTGTCCTGTGTAGGGAGAGGGCTGGGCATTCTGCAACACACATAGTATGTCTACTACAAACACTCTGAGAACAAATCACACTCTTACCTGCACACATTCTTCAAGGTCCATCTTTTCAAGTTCATGGCAATTCTACAAAGTATAATGTCATATAATTCAGTATAAACTTCTAAGACACTGGTAAATCATAAAAGCCAAAATGCCCCGAGACTGTATTAAACACAGCGATCAAAGCATGGTGGTGCTGTTGCTGTCAGCCCAGTACTGCTCTTTCATATCCTCTGTTTTTTGGAATAGTCCTGCTCTGTGGCCCAGGCTGTCCTCCAACCCAAGATCCCACTGCCTCAGCTTCCCAAGGGCTGAGACTGATTATAAACACACACCATCATCCCTGCGTTGGTTGTACATATAAAAAGGCTTTGATCACAGTAAAACTTCTCAATTAGTTCATACTTAAACACTGAACATTTTATAATTCCAAAGGCGTAATTTTGCTAAAAATTAATACTATGGTAACAAGATCTTTTAACTAAAAAGTAGTTCAATAAAAATTATTTTGTGCCGGGCGGTGGTGGCGCACGCCTTTAATCCCAGCACTTGGGAGGCAGAGGCAGGCAGATTTCTGAGTTCGAGGCCAGCCTGGTTTACCGAGTTCCAGGACAGCCAGGGTTACACAGAGAAACCCTGTCTCAAAAAACAAAAAAAACAAACAAAAAAAATTATTTTGTTTGGAACAGAGAAGTTCGACTTGCTTTTTGAGCTAGACATGCTGGCATTCACCTCACCAGTACTTTATAGATCAGTCTGAAAGCAAATTATATTCCCCTTATTATTCAATACCAACCAAAGTCAACATAATTTAAAATGTTATTACTGAGCAAGGCTGATCTGAGTTTGAGGCCAGCCTGGTCTACAGAGGGAGTTCCAGGACAGGCTGGGCTACACAGAGAATTGAAATAAGAAAAAGGCAAGGAAGCAGGGCAGTGCTGTTACTCTACAGTGATTACACAAACCACAGAGAGCATTAAAATCCCTTGGAAGAGACTCAGGGTTGGACATTACTAACCAGGCCTGCATCTCCTTCAACAGTGCTCTTACTCAATCACATACCAAACAACAGAGTTTTACAAAGTACCAGGAAACCCCTGTTTCATGTCATTCACCGTTTTCATGGAACTGGAGAATCAAGTCTCAACAAAGAGTGCCATGATCTCTGATAAACGTCTGCACTTCCCAAGTCCTATAGCCCCGGGCAGACAAAAATAAAACCCACTGTGAAACCAACTTCAGAACCTTGGGAAACTCTTACCCTGGCCAGGGTAGTGAAGCCCACATCTGTTAACTGGGAACATCTGGCCACTTCTAATATTCTGTTAAAAGAACAAAGTGAAAAAGAAAGTTAGGCTCCTGGTTCCTGAAACCCATTTTATTAGAACAGCAGTAATTTGAGAAAGCAATCTTTATTCTCTGACTGCTCATAATACAGAATGACATCAGTGACTACGCAAGTCTGTGCACGAGAGCAGTATTAATGATTACAAAGTCTGTGCACAATCTCGTTGTTTTCACATAGCTATCCAACGGTCCTGTCAACACCACACTCCAGGGTGATGCAATCAAAGAATACAGAGGAACAGAACTGAAGCTGGTAGTTAATGCCAAATTGCATTAATAGCCTTCTTGATGGCATATTGCTTACCCCCAGAGGGCAGCCTGCTCCTAGAAAACAAAGGAAATGGAAATAAATACTCTGTTTCAGTTCATCTGTTGCTGAAGTAACTATTTTCTGTCTTTCATGTAGGTCTCAGAAGATTTTAATTGCCTTAAAAATGTAAGTGAACTGCTGCCAGTCCAGGTCTGTCTCAGTCTATACAGTCCAGGTCTGTCCCAGTCTAAACCCTGCGCTGGAGGCTCCTGTCTCCTCCCACAGGCTCCTGGGTGTGCTAACACTGACTTCATACCACTCATAGGACTGGGAGATCAAAAGTTGCCACTTCTGTGTCAAGCCTGGTAATGGCTGTGCTATATGATGGCACCAAACACTGTTTCCTTAAGAACCCTTACAACCAAAGTGAAAAAGTGAAGCCAAAACACAGTAATTCACCCTCAAAAATCAGAAATTAGTGTTGTAGGGAGAACAGGGTCTGACAAGAGAGCCTGTGGCTGTCACAGCTGAGCCTGGACATTCTCACAATATAAGGAGCACATGGGAAGTAGGGAAGGCTACCATGAACTACCTCCCTGAGGACCAGCTTTACTCTAGACTGAAGGTGATGTCACCTCATAAGGAACCTCCACATTTTCAGCCACTGTGGTTGGCCCATCACTGGGAGAGCATGGAAACGTCTGTTGTTCTGTGATTGTTAGTTAACCATACTGTAAGAAGTCCCAGAATGCCTGTCTCAGCATCCTGCTCACGCACTTAATGTCTATGGGAAGCAGGTCACCTCACCGACCGCCCCCCCGCCCCTTCTCTTCTATGATACAAAGACAGTGCTTTACATTAGAGTTCAGTATTTGTAAGCCCTTAACTATAATACTAACTATCTTTGTGAGTCACATGGGGATCACATACACACCACAAAACAATGTTATGCATGTTTTTTTCTGGAATATGGTTTGATGCTATGGGCATCCTAACAGAAAATCTACAAAAACATCTAGACGAAAGCTACAGAGTGACAAAGTTGTTGTAAAATATAACCCTGGCTGGTCATGGCAGAATGTGCTTTTAATCCTAGCACGTGGGAAACAGAGGCAGGTCAATCTCTGAGTTCAAAGCCAGCCTGGTTTACATAATGAGTTCCAGGACAGCCTACATAATAGATACCCTGCCACAACATGAATGAATGGATGACAGTAAACACAAGGACTTCTGCAGAAAAAAACAAAAAACAAAATTTCTACATATTACAAAGACATAAATGGCCTCAGGATGGGCTTTAAGATGTGGAGAAAAGAACTTTAAGAAGTATTTTTTCCTACTCTGACCAGTAAGATCCCTTGTTGACTCGGGTCATTTACATGTCACCACAGGACAAAGCCAGTAGGACAACAGCTACAAGGGTAATGACACTGCAGTCTGCTTAAAGGTTCAAAATGCCAAGGGGAAAACGGCCCACAGCGGCAGCTTCTCTCCCCTTGATGTGTTTTGAGCTAAATAAACAAGGTTTACCTAAGCCGAGGGCAGTTCTGACCTAGAGCGTTCAGGATGGCATCTGTGATATTGGAGCACCCAGAGGCACAGAGGGACTGCAACTTATGACATCCTCTGCATATGGTGATGAGACCTTCATCTGTGATTTGCTAAAACACAAAAGTGAGAAGAATCAATATGCATTATTTACAGGGAAAAAAAATCAAACACTTGCAGGAGGCAGCATGTCCACTGGGCACCCAAGCCTAGAGGCTGGCTTATATGGCTGTGCTCACTCTGTGTGAGCTCTTCACCTAAGGATGCCGGGGAGGGACAGCATGGGCACATCATGGTGAGGACCCACAAAAGCTTAAAACCTAGAAAACAAGTAAGAACCAGTCTTCTTGTTTTGCTTTGTTTGTTTTTGAGATAAGATTTCTCTGTGTAGTCCTGGCTGTCCTGGAACTCAGAGAGCCTCTCCTCCTGAGTGCTGTGATTAATGGTGTGTGCCATTGTGCCCAGCTAGGACAGCAGTCTTTTAATAGTATAAACATATTTACCAGTATAGCAGAAACATTAATACAAAAATAAACTGTGGGTGGCTACAATCTCACCACAGCATGTATTTGTATTTTTAGAATATCATAACTTATGTAACTAAATAGATGTGCTTAATTCAGATAAATTAGCATTTTAAATAATTTTGAATTGAAATAACATTTTGAAACTTCAAAACTGTTACAATTAAGTAAAATGTCACAAAAGAGTGTATGGGCATACACCAATAATCCAAACACTGGACAGACCAGTGCAGGAGGATCTTTAAGTTCCAGGCCACCCTAGACTACATAATCAGACCACGTTGCAGGAAAAAAAAAAAAAAAAAAAAAAAGGAAGGACATGTAACATCTGTGTGGATCTGTGTGGGGCTCTCTGTGAACTCTACTTCAGGATCATTAAGCCCATTTTGTCTTTGAAACAGGGCTTCACTATGGGACCTAGTGGGTCTAGAACTTCTTACATAACACAGGCCGGCCTTCAGCTATGATCTTTTTGTCCTCATCTGCTCAGGGCTGGGTTTTGGCCCCAGGATTATAGGTGTGTGTCACTATGCCTGTAAGTCACTGTCTGTGAGGGAACTTTTGTAATAATGTTACGGAGGAATTACTAACATGGAAGCATCATGGGGAGGGACACTTACTAAGCAAGTTTGTAAGTTCAATGTCACCAGCTCAGGGCAGTGTGCACCTATGTACTTGAGAGCTTCATCTTCCAGCTGCAGAGATTAAAAACAATCGTTTTCTGACACATTCATTAACACATTCATTAATACATAGCTAACCACGTTGCAAAGGAAAAAACTATCATGCCTTATTCCTAGCAGTGGTAACCAGGATTTTCTAGAAGTCAGTTTTGCCATACCAAATTCTTATTAATATCAAGTCTAGAAAAAGGTTGAGGGTAGGATGTAAGAGGGTCTAACTATGTTGTCCTGGTTATCCTGGACCCCCTCTGCAGACCAGTCTGGCTTTCTGCTGGGATTACAGTCTGGATATGGATTTTATTTCTAGCATATTAAATAGTTATGATACACTGTATTAAGACTATAGGCAAAGGAATTTTCATCGTCCTACAACCTACATGAGGAGTCTGTTTTCCTATTTAACAAGCTTTTGGGAGGAGAAGCTGAGAACAGAATCCCGGTGTTTATTTGCTCTTGAGGATCAGGGGGAGCTCACAGCGCTGGGAGAGATCAGGGTGCATTGTAATCAATATTTTTCAGGATTCCACAAACCAGAAGCTCAAGCTGTTGTTTTAAGGCAATAATACATCCAAAGTTCTGTTTGAACAAAGGAATCTTCCCAGCATGGCAACAGCCGGGCGGTTTCAGTGGAGTCCAGGGCTTTAGCAGCAGTCACGACTAACTCCATCTGCTTTGTGTTTTTCTTTTTTGGTTTTTCGAGACAGGGTTACTCTGTGTAGCCCTGGCTGTCCTGGAACTCACTCTGTAGACCAGGCTGGCCTTGAACTCAGAAATCCGCCTGCCTCTGTCTCCCAAGTGAGTGAGTGTTTCTTTTAATGTTATCTCACAGGTTTTTTTTTTTAACCAGAGAAATTGAATTTTATTTTTATTGTTATTTTTTTTTCCTTGAGACAGAGCCTTATGATGTAGCCTAGGGCTGCCTTTGAACTTACAGGGATCCTCCTGTCTCAGCCTCCCAAATGCTAGGCTTACAGGGATGTACTATCATGCCCGAGTTTGTGAATTTCTTAATGAAAAGAAGTGCAATTTATAGTTGTGAGATATAGTATGAGGTAAAGTGAACCCTTAAAATATACTTGCCATATATTGTATACTTGGCAGATCTATGAACAATTCCTGCTGGTTATACCAGGGTAAACACCAAGACTGCCCTTTTTGCCTATTCAGCTCAAAGTAAGAGGGAATAAAGAAATTTTTAGTACAAGAGTGTCTCTCCATTTGCCCCTCCCCCCATTTATGCTTTGGTCATATATTAATTCTCCTCAATTCTAAGAAAAATGTCCTGACTTTTGGAAGTGTGTCTTCATGGTTAGCAGCATCTCTAACTCCCACCTTCCTCAGGATGGACATGTTGGGAAAATCTACAAAGAGCTACCGGTTCCTCTGACTTTCACAAGCACTACGCGGAGCATTACCTGAGTGCAGCCTTTTAAGAATAAGGCCTTGAGACTCCCACAGCCTCTCACTAGTGCTTGAATGCCATCCTTGGTTACTTGGTCACACCAGGAAATGTTCAACTGCTCCAACAGTGGACAGCCCTCACTTAGGATAAAACACAAGGAGACAAGCATGTCACTCCCTCCAATCCCAAAGCTGCCACAGCCTCATCTTCACAGAGGTCACATAGGACTGCATCACTGGGCAGGGTATTTTAAACCCACTTTACACAACAAGCACAAAGTACATATTGTTTTCCAGATACGGACAGGAAGTGGAAATTAAATGACTAGTTTAAACTAGCCTAGACTAACCAACAGTAGTTCAGATTCAAGGTCAGATTTCCTGTCAAGAATTTAACTAGTATCACAGTTCTATCACACTTGCAAACAGAACAGACTGTGTTCAGCCTCTGCATAATACCCTACAATAATCTACCTTTGATTTTTTCTGCTCTGGTCAGTTAGTCCTGCCTGGAATACCCTGTAACACTGCCTGAGCAGTCTCAAGTGCCCTGCTTAGAGAAAATCTACAAAGTCTAGATCCAGGTTTAAGGTCATCTTCAACATAAATAATCTGACTTCAGCCAAGTCACTTAAGCGTGTCTGAACTTCTCAGTCTAAGATCAGCCATGTTCATCTCAGGCTCACTTCTATACCAACTGGTGCAGTGATACATGTATGCTTCTTTACCTGGGGCCCCTGTGAAACTTGCAGGCACATCTTAGGTCATATTTCATGGCTGATTCAGACATTTACATTTTTTAAAATCTGTAAATGCTTGTCCTATCCACTGCATAAGCCTTCAGTAAATGAGATCAATTGTGTGAAAATATCTTATAAATGTGAAGTGTCATCGAACTGATGGCCTTACATGGCAAGCAGTTTCAGATATACAGATACATTGTGTACTCATGAGGAAGTTCCAAAGGGACCCATGTTTTACATCATTTATACTAATTCTTTTTTTAAAAATATTTATTTATTTATGTGATATATATGAGTAGTACACTGTAGCTGTCTTCAGATACACCAGAAGAGAGCATCAGATCCCATTACAGATGATTGTGAGTCACCATGTGGGTGCTGGGAATTGAACTCAGGACCTCTGGAAGAGAAGTTGGAGCTCTTAACTGCTGAGTCATCTCTCTAGCACCCTATACTAATTCTTTCTCTCTTTTTCTGACAAAGGGTCTTGATAAGTAGCCTTGGCTGGCTTAATACCACAGGTATAAAGCAGCATAATATAAAAAAAAAAAAGAGCTTAGTTTTTAATGTGTATAAGCAGAACTAATACTCAGAGGTCTAATTATTTAAGAAAGTCGAGTTAAAAAGTAGATTTCTGGACTGGAGAGACCGCTCAGAGGTTAAGTGCAGTGTCTGACTTTCCAGAGGTTCTATGTTCAATTCCCAGCAACCACAAGGTGGCTCACAACCACCTATAAAGAGACTTGATGCCCTCTTCTGGCCTTCAGGCAGAATGCTGTATACATAATAAATAAATCTTTAAAAAAAAAAAAAAAAGTAGATTTCCAAAGGGAATGAGTATTTTTTATTTGGGAATTGAAGGCAGGTGTTTCAGAAGTTTAAGGGCAGCCTGGAATGAACGTGTGTGTGTGTGTATGTGTGTATTTTACGTCAGGCCTGATAATCAGTACTCTGTAATCCCAGCTACTTGAGAGGCTGAGGCAGGAGGAACATAATTCAAAGCCTTCCTGGTCTATAAGTCAGCTGGTGTACACAGTGACACTACTAAAAATTAAAGGCGAAACAAAAAGCCCAGACGTCTGGAGGAAGAGGCAGGTGTATCTCTGAGTTCAAGGCCATCTTGGTCTGCAGAGCAAGTTCAGAGATACACTGTGAGACCTCATCTTAAAAGAAACGAACAGAAATCACAACAAAAATAAGAATGAGAAAGGGGAGGAGAGAGGAGGCTGGGTGCTGAGCTCAGTGACGGCATGAATGGCACGCGCACAGCCCAAGGTTCAAAATGAAGGAAAGAATAAATCTTCCAAGCACTTCTGGACTCAGTCCAGGCTGGCCTTAACTAACGATCCTCCTGCCCTAGCTTTCCACGTGCTGGGATTACTCTAGCTTTAACGTACTCAGCACATGGAGACTGAGCACTTACTGCCGTGTGAGTCTAAAGCACAGTACTACAGGCGGCTTTACAGTGCTTTATGTATGACAGGCTGAAGCCCACAAAGGCCTTCACGTCAGGCTGACAGTGTCTCATGTCATCTAGTAACAATGCTGCAAGGTTTCAAGGAAAAGCTCTTAGGGGCTGTGTTTGGACGAAGCTGTCAGACAAGAACCTGGCTCCAGACTCCATTTTAACCACTAAGCTGTAAATACACATGCCATCTCCTTTTTTAAAAAGCAGTTCTTTATGAACATCTATCTTCTCATTAGCTGACAACCCATACTGCTCTGTGCAAAAGTCTAAGTTATGTCTGGATGCTTCCCAGTAAAGTAGTCTGTTATTTTAATGTGAGCACGGGCAAGAAACGGTCCCCCGGGATTATAGGACACACCTGTGAAGCACCGCTGCCTTCAATTCCAGCTGTGTTATCAGCTATTTTTTTTTTTTTTACAAATATGTAGTAATAGGCATATTAAAAGAAATTTACCTCAGAGCTTTGAGAGACATGTTTGTTATTGATGTACAGGAAGCCAAGTCGAGGTGCCTGAGTTTGGAGCAGAACTTGCTAAGGCTAGTGCAGGTACTGCAGAGGAGGGGGAGGGAGAGAATGCACATTTAAAATAAGAACGTATCTGGTTAGAACTGGATCAATTGTTTACATCTTTGTTTCCTTTTGTGTTTGGAGACTGGGTCTCTCTGTGTAGCCCTGGCTAACCGGAACTCAGAGATTCACCCGCCTCTGCCTCCTGAGTGCTGGGATTAAAGGTGTGAGCCCCCAGTGCATGATAAGCTTGCATCTTCTAGCAGCCAGAATTCTCTCAGCCCTCTAGTTGGTTCAACACACTCTGGCCTCAGCACAAGTTTCTTTGTAGTTTTATTAGCCTTTTGGTGAAAACAGAACAGGCTTATTTTGTCCACTGCAGCTGCTCTCTCCTGATAGAACGCTGCTCTCCACGGGCGCACGTCCTTGTCCTGATGCCATGTCACTTCATGTGGCTGGAGCTTGCTACATTTCTTGTGGAAAGTCATGTGGGTTTTAGGAAATCTCACCATGTCTGCAGCTTCACTGTCAGTACAGAAAGAAAGAGCATGGGCCAGAAATGGAAACAGGCTGGCCTTAAACTAACGTAATCCTCCTGTCTCAGCCCCAAGTGCTAGCACTACCGGCATTCAGCACGAGGAGCTCCTCAGAGACAAAGTTCTCACTGCTCTCCCACAGTCCCTTTCTCCAGCTCCTCCTTTTCTGCCTCTGCTTGGCTGTTACTTGCTTGCTTTGTATTTTGAAGACAGTGACTCAAACTGGATACCCAGAGCTCCCGAGTCAGCCTCCCTTGCAGGGAGGTCCTGCCCAGCACCAGACTTCAGTGGGTTAGCTAACTTCTCTAAAGTTTTGTTTATTGCATTTCCATAATTTCTTTTTTTTTTTGGGCCGGGAGGTGGTGGCCAAAAAAAAAAAGTCAAAAAAATTTTTTTTTTCGAGACAGGGTTTCTCTGTGTATCCCTGGCTGTCCTGGAACTCACTCTGTAGACCAGGCTGGCCTCGAACTCAGAAATCCGCCTGCCTCTGCCTCCCAAGTGCTGGGATAAAAGGCGTGCGCCACCACTGCCCAGCAAATCTTTTTTTTTTTTAAAGTTAGATGGGCAATGGTCTACAGAGTGAGTTCTAGGTCAGCCATGGCTACACAGAGAAACCATTTCAAACAAAACAAAACAACTAATAGACAATCAAAGAAAATGAAAAAATGAAAAAAAGTCTGCTGAGACCTGGACGGACATTGTATGAACCATCTTTAATTTGGAGATGCCTGCCATCTTGCTATGTATATTCCAAATATGAGTCAAATAAATCGTCCTTATTTACTTAGTAAAGTTTAGTAGTTTTCAATGTAGAGATCTTGTATTTCCTTTATTACACTTACTTGTAAACTCTGGTTCCTTTTAAAGTTAAGAGAAATCTTCACACGTCTGTTTGGGAATGTGTCTGTGTGCAAGTAAAGGCCACAGGACCTTGGGTGCTGATCTTCAGGTGCCATTCACTAATCTTCAGACAAGATTTCTCACTGGTCCAGAGCTTACCTAGGAGGCTAGGCTGGCAGGCCACCGAGTCCCAGGATCTGTCCCTTATTCTACATGGCTGGGATTACAAGTGCATGCCACCATGCCTAGCTTTTTAACATGGGTCCTGGGATCTGAACTCCCGTGTCAGTACTGCACTGACTGAGCTAGCTCCAAGCTTGGCTTTTTTATTGCTTGAGACGGCAGAGCAGGGTTTCAAGCCCACTATGTAACCAAGGATGGTCTTGATTTCCTGATCTCCTGAGTGCCAAGAACAAAAGCATGCTTCACTGCACCTCCTGGTTTGAAACTTTGCTTAAATTTCACTTTTATACTGTGTTACTAATACATAGAAACAGAATTTCTTGAATGTTAATCCTCTATCCAGAGAAGCATTATTTTATGTATTTTTTTTATTTTTCTGAGACAGGGCCTCATTATATAGTCCTGGCTAACATGGAACTCACTATGTAGACAAGGCTAGCCTTTCTGAAAAGATTTGCCTGCCTCTGTCTCCTGAATATGAGAACTAAAGGTGCTGAAGATGGAATGAGAATGAGGAGGAGGAAGAGGAGGAGGAGGAGGGGACAAATGTGGTACAGCATGGAAGTCATGGGTCAACTCTGGGGAGCTCCTTTCTTCCTTCCACTGTGGCCTCCAGGACTGAACTCAGGTTGTCAGTCCTGTGCAGTAGGAGCCTGCTGAACCACCAGCCATCTCATTGACCTTAAAGCTTTAACCTTTTTTGTGAATACTAGCAGTGTTTTTGTGGTTTATGACTTATTTAATTTTGTAGTATGTATGTATGTGTGTGTGTATGTAGAGACAGGTTTCTCTGTGTAGCCCTGGCTGTCCTGGAACTAGCAAAGCTCACCTGCCTCTGCCTTCCAGTGCTGGGACAAAAGGCGTGCGCTACCACATCCTGCATGCTTACGATAGCATTTTACATAGGTGAGGCTGGTCTTGAACTCCTGATCCAATTTTCATCTTTGGCTCTCCAAGTGCTGGGATTGCAGGTGTGTGTGTGGGGTGGGGGGAAGGGGAGGGGTCTGGAGTAACTCTCGAGCCCTCTGCAGCAGCAGCAGCAGCACTCCTGCTGGCTGAGCCTCCTCCAGGACTAGCTTATGAATCTACATGAACAGGTCTGTAGGACTGTCCACCATAAATAAAGTTTTACTTCATTGTTTCTGTTTGATTATTTATTGTCTATGTGTCCGAAATGTATTACAAAAGAAAAGCCCTCAAACTTACAGACCAGCTAGACGCTGCAACACAATGTGGACCGCGTGTGCTGCGGCTCAGAGATAGACGGACAGACTTAATACATTCCAGGAGCTGGAGGATTCTACCTGCCACACCCCAGCTCCCAAAGAGGCACCAGTATTTTGCTCCTGACCTTAGAGGTAAAGAAGCCTTTCAATTAGGTAAAATGTTACAGCAGGGTGTGATGGCACACACACATCATACACAGCATTTGGGGTGGCTGAAGCACCTGAGTCAAGAGTTTCAGGCTAGCCTGGTCTACACAGCAGAAACACAACAGCACATCTTTCTTTTTTTTTTTTTCACAGTATCTAGGATTGAATTGAGAGCCTCATCTGTGCTAGGCCAGCATTCTAACATTGATTTGTATCTCCTGTGTCTCTAGATTTTTGTTTGTTTTATTTTTGATGACAAGGCATCACTGAATCACCCAAACTGACCTTGAACTCACTTAGCCTGAGCAAACCCTGATCGTCCTCCTGCCTCAGCCACCTGGGTGGGTCTGTTTGAGTTCCGTAGCCTTGTCAAACCTGGCACTTGCTTTGGAGCCCACTGTACCTTAATTCTCTGACCCTGAGCACTGCGTGTAGACTCTGGTCAGGAGGGATTATTTACAATGCATTAAAATGGGAAAATTCCCTAAAATCACTCAACTTAAAAGAGCCTCGAGGGGCTGGAGAGATGGCTCAGTGGTTAAGAGCACTAACTGCTCTTCCAGAGGTTCTGAGTTCAATTCCCAGCAACCACATGGTGGCTCACAACCATCTATAATGGAACCTGATACCCTCTTCTGGTGTGTCTGAGGACAACTACAGTGTACTACTCATACATAAAATAAATAATTCTTTAAAAAAAAAAAAGAAAAAGAAAGAAAGTTGAGTTCTTTGGGCTGGAGAGATGGCTCAGTGGTTAAGAGCACTGACTGTACTTCCAGAGGTCCTGAGTTCAAATCCCAGCAACCACATGGTGGCTCACAACCATCTGTAATGAGATCCGATGCCCTCTTCTGGTGTGTCTGAAGACAGCTACAGTGTATTCATATATAATAAATAAATAAATCTTAAAAAAAAAAAAGAGCCTCGAACTCTTCCTACCTCTTCCTCCTAAATGCTGGGATTAAAGGTGTGTACCACCATGCCTGGCTTGGTTTTATGATTTTATGTTTATTCTATTAAGAGAAAATGAAGATATGTGAGTCTCAGACTCATTCATACAACCTGGGTAATCACCAAAGCTCAAGCTGCTCTGAAACTCCAGGTAATGCCTCTGCCTCAGCCTCCCAAGTGCAGAGACTACAGGCATGAACCACCATGCCTGGTTAGCTTATTTCCATTCAGCTCAAAAAAGGAATTTTTGTCTTTAACTTATGAGTTACTTAAATGTATACTGCTTATTACTTTAATTTTTTGTTTTGTTTTGTTTTTTTGGTTTTGAGACAGGGTTTCTCTGTGTAGTCTTGGCCGTCCTGGAACTCACTCTGTAGACCAGACTAGCCTTGAACTCCGCCTGCCTCTGCCTCCCAAGTGCTGGGATTAAAGGCGTGCGCCACCATTGCCCGGCTTATTGCTTTAATTTTTAAATTCTTGGTATCTCCTCGTATTTTCCTCTGTTGAAGACCTCTAGTTTAGTTCTCTAGTTGTAAAAAGAGAACACCCAGTTAATTACTTTAATCTTAACTTATTAAGCTCGCCTAGTCTTCAGCCTATGGTCTATTCTAAGTGTCCAGAACACAGTGTGTTCTCTGCAATCACTGGGTAGAATGTTCTGCCTGGAGGGAGAGGGTCTTACTATGCTATCTGGCAGGGCTTAGATCTTCCTCTGCAGACCAGGCTGGATTCTAACACACAGCTCTGCCTGCTTCTGCCTCCGTTTGCTGAGATTAAAGGTATTCATTTACTTGTGTAGGACCTAAAGTGTGTTTCCCTTTTTTTGTATGTGTGTTCTCAGGGATTTACACATGCTGGATAGATACTCTAGCACCGAGCTGCATACCAAGCCCTCTTTCGGTTTTTAATAAAGCTCTATGCAGTCTAGCCTGGCCTTTACCTCCGGAACCTCGGGTCTCTATCTCCCAAAGTGCTGGGATTATAGCAGTCCTCTTTAAATAATTTCTACCTACTGACTGGATTCTACTTTTCCTGAGGGAGGGGAGTTATTTATTTACTTCTTCAGTAGGGACTCATCCTACCCAGCATTTTCCACCGAGTGTTCTGCCCATGGAAGCACGGCTTGCACGCTATGCTGACAGTTCACACGTGGGCTAGAGAGGACACTAGAGAGTTCTGGCTGTTCTCAAATATCTTTTTGTGTGCTTTTCTGTAAGCCTAAGCTCCATCAAGTGGGAACACATGGCTACCTTGTGTTTATTCTGACCTCTGCTGCCCGTGAACATGGTCTCTGGCCAACATAGGATATGTGAGGTTTCTTTTCATAGATTTATTTATTTTTATTTTACGTGTATGCTTGACTGTGTGTGCAGTGTGTACATGCCTAGTTGTCCAGAGGCCAGAAGAAGGCGCCACATCTTCTGGAGCTGGAATTACTTAAGTGTGTGAGCTGCAAGTGAGGTAAACTGAGTCTGAGTCCTCTGTAAGAGCAGCAAGGCTCTTAAGGCCTGAGCTCTCCAGCCCAGGGAAAATGTCTGAGTATGCCTCACTGCCTGTTACACCCTGAGTCTTAGTGACACACAGCTTCAAGCTAAAAGGGCCTTCACTTTCCTCATTTTCATTTTTATTGATCATGCTTCAAATCAAGTGAGCCTACCTCGGAAGCAACTCAAGCCTGTTGGTTTTTATACTCTACCTTGTTTAATAACTATTCAGAGCTTCTTATGGGAGTAGTGGGCCAGGATTCCTAGGTGAGAATTCCACTGATTTAGCCAGGTGGTGGTAGTGGCTACAGCAGCAGCTATACACACCTTTAATCCCAGCACTTGGTTGGATTTCTTGAGTTTGGGCCAGCCTGGTCTACAGTTTTGTCTACAAAGAGAGTTCCAGGACAGGCAGGGCTACACAGAGAAACCCTGTCTACAAATGAACAAAGATAAGAATTTCATAGACCTAGAGCTCGGGTTTTAGCTCAATGATAGAGAGAGCTTCCCTAAAATGCACAAGTTTTGGGTTTGATCCTCAGTATTACAAATAAAAAGGACTTGATCATTAAGATGTAAATCTAGTCTAAAATACACAGACTGGATGCCATGTCTAGGACTTTTTTTGTTCAAGTACTGACAAAATCAGAAGAGAAATCAGTAGGAGGAGTCAATGACCCGGATAAGAATGGCCACAAAGTCTTACAGCTGAAGTAGGGTGACAGACCCTTGCTGTTCAGAATATGATAAACACATCAGGCCATGGGTTCAGCCTCCAGCACAGAACAAAAAAAGTCAGTACAGAGAAATACTTTCTGCTTGCTATGGAACCAACACAGATTAGATTTAACCTTGGTCCATATATTTTATTTGCTTTCAGTTTCTAGGGACGGCTCTGAGACCTATTCATCCCTGGCCCCGGTTTGGTTTTATTTTGAGATGGAATCTCTTGTAGTTCAAGCTGCCCTAAAACTCACTGTGTAGCAGAGGCTGGTCTTGAACTCACCATTTACTGTCTTCTACCTCCCAAGTACCAAGCTCTGGGGTTATTGACACAAATAACTTCTGCCTATCGTTCTTTCGTTTTTTGAGAGAGTTTTATAGGCTGGCTTAAAATTGGAACTCCTCAGTCTACTTCTTATAGAAAAAGCAACAGTAAGGCTTCAGAGAAGAGAAATAAAACAAACATTTGTCCTGTGCTCGTCTCCTCGAGCAGTCAAATAGGCTCAAAGGCTCACCATTCTAGAACATTTTGAATGAGAACGCCATTAACAACCCTGGCTCCTGTCTGTCCACGCTTCTCCTCTGCCTTCCCTACATAGTATTTAAATGTGATTTGATTAAATTATCACCAATGGATAACCTGGGGCTGAAGACTTTTATGCCCATTTGTGTATCTCGTGTCTGAAATTCAAGGATGAAGGATTGTGCTAACTTTTTCTATGTTATGCGTGACAGGCAACAGTCATTTTCCGTGAATAGCACTAGCCAGTTACGTCTGTTTTACGGTTTTAATCATTTCATACAATTATCTGTCATGTGGCTTTGATTATTAGCCGTACAGCACATACATTAGCTATAGTTGAACTTTAAATATCACAGATGAATGAGTTCAAAGGCAGCCATCTATTCCACTTCTACCTAATGACTTTTCCCTTAAGGTTTTTCTTTTAGGACTAGGGATGTAGCACAAGGCCCCCCGGGCTCATCCCTTAGCATCATAAACCAGACAAAAAGAGTTATTCATAAAAACAAGGAACTTAATTCAACCTGTTCTTCTGAACTACAGTCAAGGGCAGACTATGGACTAATGACATCACCTCCCAAAGTCAATACTCACGCATCTGTCGTCTTTGTACATCCGTTGAGACTCAGTACTTCAATATTCCTACAGTTTTGTGCAAAGGTCCTTTATGGGGAAAAAAGTTAAAGGTTATAAATATGTTGGATAGAACATTAGATATAAAAAAAGCCTTAAATAATACTAGTTGTTGACACCTATGATGCCATAATATGTAAAATATGTAATTGGTTTGATCCCTAGTTCCCAGGATAGAGATTCTAAGATGTTCTAAGATTTCCTGAGGAATAGGTGTGAGCTTTGTTTGGGGTGGTGTCCTGGGAAGGTGGCAAGCCAACTCCACAAGGACAGGTGCTCCGGTCTTCAGACACTTCTCACCCCTGCCCTGTAGAGCACTTCCTCCAGCTACTTACTCATGGGCTTTAGTGAGCTGTTAATAGTACCCAAAGCTCTTTCCTGAATTACCGGACTCATGCTAGTAAATTAGAAAATTTGGGAGTCATGGTAAACCTGATTTTATGGGCCATCCAGACAAGTGCATAGCAACTGGGACTTGCAACTTGCATCTGAGCAGGGGCTGACGATGGGACTGCATCCTAGCCTGCAGGGTCTGTGCTGACTCTGGACAGCTGTGTTGCAGTGAACTGAAATAGCCAGCCCCTATCTGCAAAATCAGAGAACTAACTGTTGGGAGGAAGAAAAACAACTTTTGTATCTGTGTGTGAGGTGTGAATTCAACACAAAAGTGGCTGGTTGGTCTAAAGAGATTAACCCCACAGACTGTTCTTTTTGTTCACTTGTTATGGTTCTTTTGTTTTTGAGACCAGGTTTCTGTGTATCCCTGGCTGTCCTAGAACTAACTCTCTTTGTAGATCAAATTGGTCTTGCACTCAGAGACATCCTCCTGCCTCTGCCTTCCCAGTGACGGGAAGACCTGCAACACCACCCCTGGTTCCACAAACTGTAAATTTTTTCTTCTTTTACTGTTCTCACAAGGTTTCACAGTGTAGCCCCGGCTGACCTTGACTTGCAATCCCTCTGCCCTAGCCTCTCAGTTCCTGAGATTAAACATGGCATCAAAAGCAGAGAATGATTTTATCTTTGAATTAACCGAAGTCTATACTCTAAGTCCAGGTCCCCAGAGCGACTCTGGTGTAGAGCAGTCTGAAATCTCATCTCTGTCCTGTATCTGCTGTGCAGCCGAAGTCTGCTAGCGTCTCCCTCGTGGACACACCGACACGCACGGAGGGACTGTTAGGACATGCACCTGTACCCTCGCTCTCCGCTCCTACTAGAAATGGGTATAACCAATGCACATGTCTGCATTTTTAACAGCTTAAAAAAGAAAGAGCTACTCAATGTTTAGCCTTTTCTGTGAGTTGGTGCTGTTCTTTATTTCAATCTACAAGATTGAAAGCTATTTTTAAAATTTATTTATTTTATTTATTTATTTTTTTACCTTAATGCATTGTCTCCTACTCCGAGACACCCACGAAGACTTAACTTTCGTAAAAAGCCTCCACATCGTTTTGAGATATTTTCCACTACTCGGCCCTATGAAGAGACAGTTAAGCAAAAAGACAGCTTATGTTACTTCTTTTGACAAGAATACATCCTCATTTTAAAATAAAAAATTATAGTTCGAGGCTAGCCTGGTCTACAGAGTGAATTCCAGGACAGCCAGGGCTACACAGAGAAACACTATCTCAAAAAACCAAAAAAAAAAAAAAAAAAAAAAAAAAAAAAGAATTAAAAAAAAAATTATGCTGGGCCAGTGGTGGCGCACGCCTTTAATCCCAGCATTTGGGAGGCAGAGGCAGGCGGATTTCTGAGTTCAAGACTTTGAGGCTAGCCTGGTCTACAGAGTGGGTTCCAGGACAGCCCAGGCTATAAAGAGAAACCCTGTCTCAAAAACAAACAAACAAAAAAATTATAACCAGAGAAAAAGGCTTTTAAGTAAGAGCATTCTAAGAAAATCTCAACGTATTCTGAGAAGCCCATTTGCTTCTCACATGGCTGGTCAGCATTCTCTCTTTAACTTGAAGGGTGCCTGTGGCTCGCCTGGGTTAACCACAGCTGTGGAGGACATGACCGTCCACACTTACTCGTGTCCTTTCTAAGAACTCACTAGAGCACTCTGCACACGGCAGGAACCCGACGAGCGCTCGCCATGTGCGGACTGATCCTGTGGGTCTCGGTGTGTTAAGTACACACAGTCACGAGGTCAGACAAGTGCAGGGTACATGCAGCATGATGAGGGCTCAGACTGAATCTATGCCTATGGACCACATGTGGTGGCCACAACAGGGAGCCTGATTTTCTCAAACTGGAGCTACAGAGGTTTTAAGCTGCCACGTGGATGCTGGGAATCAAAACCAGGGTCCTCTAGGGAAGCAGCCAGTGCTCTTGCTGAGTCATTTCTTCAGCTTTATGTTTGTTGTTGGTTTTGAGATGTGTCTTCTGTACCCAAGGCTAGTATGATTACTACGTGTCTGAGGGTGAACTCCGTGTGGGGCATACATGTGTGCAGGTGCATAGAGAGGCCAGAGGCTGTCGGGATGCATGTCTTCTCTTTGTTTTGAAATAGGTCTTCTCTCTGAACAGAGCTTCCACTGTGGTAGACTGTCTAACTAGTAAGCTTCTAGGATGTATCTGCCTCCATCTCCCCTCCTTCGGTGCTGGAGTTACAGGAGTACCTCCATCCCTGACCTGTACATAGATGCTGAGATCTGAACTCAGGTCCTTATGCCTGTATGGCAAGGACTTTATCACGGAACCATCTCCCAACCCCTGACCTTGCATTCTTTCTGATCTTCTGGCCTTTATCTCCATGTGCTAGGGTCAGAGGTATGTTCATGCCTGGATGCTATTATACTTTTCTACTCAGAGGAAACTAACAGGCTATACTAAAAGATTAAATGAGAAAAAAGACCATACTATCCCAAACAAATTGTCTCTCAGTAAAAACAATTTAATACTTTTAATTATCTCTATTTTTGTTCCCCCAAGAATCAAAATACACACCCCCAACAATACCACCCCCAATAAGTTTAATCCTATTTACTATAAAATAAACAAATATAAAAACTACAAAACAAAACTTTTGTTCTCAGGACTAATGTTAAGAACTTAAGTGTTTTCAGGGAACTAATTCCACTTATTCTCAAAAACTGAAGAAAAAACTAGAGAGAGAGAAGCAGGCCAGTCAGGAGTGTGGCCTATCGAGGCCCTCGGTTTGAGTCCTAGCACCATCTTCCCAAACCTGAAGAAACACTTTGTTGTCTTGTTTTGTGTTGAGACAGGGTCTCACTATGTAGCCAGGCTGGTCTCCAGCTCACACTGGTTTGCCTGACTCTGCTGAGATTCAAGGCCTGTGCCACCACATCTAGCTAAGAAAATCCTCTTGGTAACACTGGAGGCTTCCATGAAGTTCAGCTGTACCAAAGCTGATAACTTTTTCAGTGGAAAAGATTTCTATGGCCAGGACTAATGCTATAACTCCTAATGAAACAAATGGGGCCACACCCCATGGAATTATACCTCAGTGTCCCTCCACACACCATGGAGTCATACCTCAATGTCCCTCTGGAAATCAAACAGGTCTATCCGTTGCCAGTTACTGCCATCCAGAGCTAGGACATTCCAGGCCTGTTTTGATAAAAAGAGAGAGAGCAAACAGGTGGAAATGAAAATAGAAACTGTAATATTTAAATTCACAATTCAACCAACAAATAACTGAGACCCATCAAAAGTGTCCTGAGTCTCCACAGTCTCTGACTGACTTGCATCAGGACAACGGAGAAGCTCTGGGGAGGCGGTGGTCGAAGTCCGCGGCAGGATCTTTCTCTAACTACTCACTCAGCTATGCTTCATAAACAATCAATATTCTGTCCAATTGACTCAGTGACAATTTTATTTTACTGTTTGTCTCACTGGGGATTAAATCAAGGGCCTCGTACCTGCTAGGCAGGCGCTGACCCACCAAGCTGCAGCCCTAGCTGTGTTCTAGGGAAGGTCTGACTGTGCTGGCCTCATCACCTCGAACGCCTCATTCTCCTGCTTCAGCCTCAACAGTCCTGGATGCCAGGCCCAGACCTTAGTGGTAATTGTAAACTACAAACTTAGAACTGTCATATATCTCTCCACACCCAGGACTGGGTGTGAGACCATGTCAGTAGAAGCTTGTTTGTTGTGTATCATCTGGCATTTTAAACCCTTTAAAAGCTTCCTCTAATTATGTGATAAAGTCATATATTGTTCAGAACAACATATGCTCTTCTGCACGTCTAGGGAGCCTGGGGTGTACTCAAATCCAAGATACTCAAGTATCAGAATTATAGGTATGAGCCATCATATCCAGTTCTAGAGTGTTCTTTATTACAACAAATTTAAAAAGCAATTTAACGGCTGGGCGGTGGTGGTGCATGCCTTTAATCCCAGCACTTGGGAGGCAGAGGCAGGTGGGTTTCTGAGTTTGAGGCCAGCCTGGTCTACAGAGTGAGTTCCAGGACAGCCAGGGCTACACAGAGAAACCCTGTCTCGAAAAACCAGAAAAAAAAAAAAAAACAAAACAATTTAACGAAGGGTGACCAGGAACTCTTAGAGACCCCTCAGCCTCTGCCTCCCAAATGATAGGATTAAGGGTTTGGGCCACTATTTCCCACTTTTCTTCAAGATTTCCAAAACCAAAGCCTGGATATTCCGAGAAACTTGAGGGTAACTGTCATATGATCGGCAAACACCGTATCAAGGTCTGAGGCAGGCAGTTACTTTACAACTGGGTATATTTTCACTGTGGATTCTCATGTGGTCAGTTACTTTTTTCTTTGTGGCTTCAGATTTTTCCAGTGTTATTTTTGTTTTGTTTTAAATAGTTAGCCATGGGAAGTTAACAAATAAAACTCTTAAAAAACACATGTTTAAGAGATTCTTGGGCTAAATATATCTCTGATTATGTGCTAGTCCTTGCCAGGTTCTTCACTGAGCAGGAAACATGCAGAACTTAAGCCTAAAATTAGGAATGACAGGTTCCTCCCTTAGAGTCTGCATTAAAAAACAAAATCCCCTCAGAGTCCTGGCAGTATGGCTCAGTGTCAGGCCTGGCCTACCTTATTATGCCAGGCACTAGACTCGATCCCACCATCACAAGAGCAAATGCCTCCTTCCCAGTAAAATCCACAAGTATCGGAACAGGCTACCAAGAGGCACTGACAATCAAGGTTTTATGAGGCTTGGCACAGATCTCTGCCTTCCTTAAGTGAAAACCACAATCAAAGATTACTGTGAACACCCTTGGATGGCGACTTTAGTTTATAAGGAGCCAGACAGGAAACTGTGCTCACTTGTAAGGACGCTTGCACGTAAAGACTGTACCGTCACTGGGATAAAAAGAGCATAGAGAAATCCCGACACTGCTTACTGCTTCCAATATGGTGGATATGCAAGTAAGTAGAGCTTTTAGCACAGAAGTTATTTTAAAATTACCAAAAAGGGGAAAACTCTACATTAAGGTTTTTGGAGTCTTGAGTACAGTGGTGCAGGTTACACTGGTGGTCTGAAGGAACACTGGGTCCACCCAACACAGAAACTACTTCATGAGGGCCTCCTACGTGCTGGCTACTCGGGAGCTTGTCATTTTGAAGAAAAGACATTTGGAAACAATATGAGAACAATATGAGAATTAGGTCACAAGAGGCTTTGATATATCCACCAGCATGTCTATGTGCTGTTATAAAATAAACTGTAAGAGTAGTAAAGTATGATTTGCTTAATGAGCCAAGGTACGGCCTTCAGTGTGAAGAACCCCTTCTGTTCATATCACGCAAATATCAGGAACAGCACTTAAAACAATTCAATCATAGAACAACATGGCATGGACGGGGTACTCGGAGTGAAATAACATCTTCTGTAGTAAAATATACAAGCAACACCTAAAAGGCTATCAGTCCCAGTCCAGGAAAAGGTCCCCCTGTCACCATGTCAACCATCTTACCCTGGAGACCTGAGCACAGCGACACAGGGTAACGACATCCAGGAAAGAAAATATCCTGAGAAGAAAACAGAGGGAGAAGCTTGTATCATCTTTTCTCACTCTTACAGATAGTCTGTCTCTTATCTACAGTCTCTCTCCGCCCACCTCATTATGTGGTCCAACATGACCTTGAACTCATGATCCTTCTGTAATAGCATCTGGAGTGGTAGGCTCACAGGTGTGCAACCACTGTATCTAGTTTTTGTTTTTTAAATAAAAAGTTCTAGTGTATAAAATACCAGGTTTCATTATCTTTTCTTTTATGTATATCACTGTATCCTGCTCACAGTCATCCCTCTAGGACACTCTTCCCTCCTCCCCATTTTGCTAGTCCCCTTTCTACCCTCAAACAGTTGCTTAAGAAATTTCTCTTGGATTTAGCTTATAATGATATACATAGACTATTACATACACACACAAACACCTCCATCACCCAGGGCAGTTTTTTCAAACAAATACAAATATACCCTGAATAATTTGCAAAAATAATTCACCTTGAAAGACACAGCAGTTGAGGGCCAGCCCCCAAACTAACTATGTGAAGTATGTAAATTTTAGGGGCATAAAGTATTGGTTCTCATTATATTGAAGTCATCACCACCAGACTCCAACTGTGTCCTGTCAAACTGAAACTTTGTATTTAACAGTAACTTGCCATTCTCTTTCAGCCCCCACAACCCCACTCTAACTCTCTGGGTAAAGCACTTGCTATTATTTCATTTGTAAGGCTGAATAATAGTTCATTGCGTAAAATACAACATGCTGTACATTCACTGGTGGATCCTTGTGTTACCTTCAACTTGTTACTACAAATTCTGTTTCTTCTTTTTTTTTTCCGAGACAGGGTTTCTCTGTGTAGCCCTGGCTGTCCTGGAACTAACTCACTCTGTAGACCAGGCTGGCCTCGGACTCAGAAATCCGCCTGCCTCTGCCTCCCAAGTGCTGGGACTAAAGGTGTGCACCACCACTGCCTGGCACAAATTCTGTTTCTATGTAAACAAATACCTGTTTTCAACTATTTCAGCTACAAACCCAAAAGTAGACTCCTTTATGGAACGTGCTCTGTAGACCAGGCTGGCCCTGAACTCAGAGATCCACTTGTCTCTGCCTCCCAAGTGGGACTATTATAGGCTTGCTCTACCATGCCTGGCTTCTTGTTTTTAACAGCCACACTAATGGCTGTGAAATAAGAATTGGTAGCTCGGGGGCTGGAGAGATGGCTCATGGGTTTAGAGGATTGACGGTTCTTCCAGAGGTACTGAGTTCAATTCCAAGCAAACATCTGGTGGCTCTGATGCCCTCTTCTGGTGTATCTGAAAACATTACAGTGTACTCATATACATAAATAAAAATATAAATTTATCTCTTGTGCCTTTGTGGTTGGTGTTTTGAGGCAGAATCTCACTCTCTGTAAAACCAGGATGGCCTCGAACTCAGGACAATTCTCCCACATTGGGCTCCCAGGTACTACATTTAAGTCATCATGCAAAGTTTGGGAACTTTCTGATGTGCTTCTTGGCCATTTACACATTTTCTTGGAAAACCATCTATTTAAGACTTGTGGTTAGTCAGGCAGTGGTGGCACATGCCTTTAATCCCAGCACTTGGGAGGCAGAGGCAGGCGGATTTCTGAGTTTGAGGCCAGCCTGGTCTACAGAGTGAGTTAGTTCCAGGATAGCCAGGGCTACACAGAGAAATCCTGTCTCGAAAAACAAAACAAAACAAAAAGAAACAAAAAGAAAGAAAGAAGAAATCATTGTTAGGGACAACTTTAGGGAGACAGCCTCCTGTGCTTGATTCTGAAACTGATCTAATTTGAGCTCTTATGCTGTGTGTGCTGTTGGGATCAATCACAGGGCCTTGGACATGCTGCCCACGAGTTACCTCTAACTCCACTGATACTCTCCAGTTCAGCCTCATCCTTTTGCACAGGGATAACAGCTTTTCAGCGTTATCTGAGTTACCTACTAAATGGCTCCGTCAGAAATCATTTGATGACAGTGTGTGTGTGTCCCTGGCTACCTTTCCCACCAGACTTTCATCTTCTTTCAGTATCACACAACTCAAGATTTTCGGTTCTGATGCCAATATTGCTTAGTTGTTCCGTCCTCTGCAGGACAAGATTTCACGACATAGCTGGGGCCCTTCCTCATCAGCTTCAGAATGCTCAATTACAAGCAGGCACCATGCTGCCCAGCTGCAGAAGGTGGTTTGGATAATCCAAACAGAAGTGTGGTGTCAACGGAAAAAAAGGACAGGAGTAGCGGTGACCTTACACTTCCCCTATGAAAGGCTGTGCGACCCACAGCTCCCTTTCCTTCTGAGACAAGGTCTAAGGATGACCTTAAACTCACCCTGGTCTACAGAGTGAGAGTCCTGGGACAACCCAGGCACCTTAACGCCACCCCATCTCACTCAACCTCTCTTCCCTCTAAAAAACACAGGCAACCATAGAGAGATGGGCTGGAGAGATGGCTCAGCAGCTAAGAGTACTTACAACGCATCTGGGTTTGATTCCCAGCACCCACATGGAACCACACACCTCAACTACTAGGCTCATCTTAGATTTCTGACATATTTTTATTTGTTCCGCAAGAGAGTCTGACTGAAGTTGATACTGAGTTGGAAGGGTTAAGGGAAGAGCAACAGGATGCATAAATTCAACTGCTCTAGATCCTGCAATGTCAGCAGAACCCCGGACACCATGATGAGATAATAAACTGGGATGGGTGTCAGGAGGGCCGAGGCCATAGCTTGGTAAACTGACCTAGCATGCTCGTGGACCTGAATTCCATCCCCAGAAACAAACACAGCCCAGTTCCCACTGGCCTCTGAAGAAAAGGAAGAAGAAGAACAAAGAAACTGGAAGCAGCAGCAGCAGGCTGGCCTCAAACTGGTGTCAATTCTCCTGGGTGCCAGGATTACAGATGCACACAACTCTCTCTCGTGTGTTTGCTGTTTTTCTGCCACAAGGTCTCAATATGTAGCCCAGGCTGGCCGCCAACTTATACATATTTAACTATCTCTGCCATCCAAGTGCAGGAATTAAAATGTATGCTGCTACTTGAGTCTTGTTTCAGATTTATCTTGTTTTCTATGAATGATTTTTTTGTCTTCACAGACACACACACACACACACACACGCAGGCACGCACAAGTGCATGCGCGTGGGTTCATGTGCATGTGTGTGCGTGTGTGTATGTGTACAACCTGTATGTCTGGTCCCTACAGGTATCAGAAAAAGGCATGATATCCTTTGGAACTGAAGTTATGGGTAGCTGGGAGCCACGATATGGGTGCTGAGAATCAAACTTGGATGCACTGTAAGAATACCAGTGCTCTTAGCTGCTGAGCCATCTCTCCAGCCCACCTCTCTGGTCTCCTGACTTATTTAGGGAAAAGAGAGGTTGAGACAGGGTCTAAGTGGCCCTGGTTGTCCCAGGACTTCACAATCACAGAGATAGGACAGTCGCTGCTGCCTGTGTTGGGATTAGAGGTGAGTGCCAGCGCTCTTAGCCTTTTCGCGTGTTTTGGAATGATCCTGTTGCAGATCTGTGCCGGCCACAGCAGACACCTGAGCTGTTTGTTACTTAGGTGCTTCAGTGCCATTATTTTAACCAAGATGATACTCAGTGACTTGCAGGCCTTTCAATCTACACTGCATAGAGCACATAAGGTACTTTAGTGTATACTGTTCCACCACCACACCAGGTACTTGACATAACATTGGCTATGCTGTTGCGTAGATCATTGGTGAGGAGGGATGGCCACATGAGGGGACATGTGATAGTCAGGAAGCAAAGAGAGGCACAGAGTGGCCAGGATCCCAGTATTCCCCCTTAAGGGCTCACTGCTAATAACCTCCCATATCCTACTAGGCCCTAACTCCTAAGGGCTCTTTGACCTCTAACAGAACCAAAGACTAAGGACCAAGTCAACACATGGGCCTTTGGAAGACATTCAAGATCCAAACTGTAACGACATTTAACTATCTTATTATCTATACTACTACTGAAACTCTCTGGAAAGTTCTATTGCTCTACATTAAAGTAGGAGGAGCTAGAGAGATGGATCAGGGGTAAAGAGCAGAAGACTTGGATTCAATTCCCAGCACCCACAAGGTGGCTCACAACTGTCTGTACTGCAGCTCCAGGGCATGCAATGACGACACTAAACATGCATGTGGTGCACTTGAATACATAAAGGCAAAACACACATAAAATAAATGATAAACTGAAAAAACAAAGCAAAATGTTGCAGGATATTTGATCACACTGTGACCCCTGAGATTGTGCTATTTGCTGAAAAACCTGTTTCTAGGTGTGGTGAGGCTCAGCCCTTAGCACACATCTTTAATCCCTCTGGCTAGAATACAGACATGACGTTAGTACACACCTTTAATTCAAAACAATGAAGGTAAAGTTAGTTTATAGAAGGAATCATCCCATGTTTAAAAGTGATGTCTAATTGAGTGGCAGACAAAATGACAAATCTGAGACTTGGCAAAATAGGATTTGCCCAGCTCTCATGAGAAGAGAGAGGAAAGCTACTTAAGGGACAGTGCAGACAGAGAGAGAAAAAGTGAAAGCAAGAAAGAGACAGAAAGGGCACAGTTCTAATGGGACAGTTACACAGAGACAAGTTACAGAGAGAACAAGCTAGACACAAGTGAAGACAGAATGAGCCAGAGCATGAGAAGGAGCCACAAGACTAGAACAGATTGCTAGAGTTAGTTTGAGGTCAAGTAGAACAATTCAGGAGAAACTGAGAGAAGCTAGATTGAACCAGTCAGCCTGGAGAGGAGTTTGAGCCAGAACACCTGAGTTCAATCATGCAGTCTTTCAGAGCTCAGTGAGAACAAGATAGGGGGAGCTTATTCAGCAGCAAGTCTCAGAGGCTGAAAACATCCTAGGCCTAGAGAAGATTGTATGGAGGCTAGAAGCTCCTGGGAGTAGGCCTAAGTTAAGTAAAAGTTATCACTACACATACACACACACGCACACACACAAAGCAAGA